TGTACTGAAGTTCATGAGAAATAAAAGTTTTCTAAAGTTCTGTATCACTTGAAAGCATTGTGCGTTTCTGATAAGGTAATCACAGAGACATTTTTAAAAGTCATTTCAAACAAACAATTAACTGAATTTCATTGCATTTTTTGAAAAAGGACTGAATTCCCCCCTGTTTTAAGGTTGGTTTTTCTTTCTTAACATAGATGGCTTCCTTCACGCCCCTCACAAACCATCTATTTTCTTTGTCCAAAATGTGAACATTCTGGTCCTCAAAAGAATGTCCTTTGTACATAAGGTGAGGATGTACCGCAGACTCTTGTCCAGAGGAGGTCGCTCTTCTGTGTTGGGCCATGCGTTTGTGGAGAGGTTGTTTGGTTTCTCCATTATAGAAATCAGAGCATTCCTCTCTGCACTGAACTGCATACACCACTCCATTCATATTTAGACTGGGGGTTTTATCCTCAGGATACACTTGCTTTCTTTTTAAGGGTCTTGTTTGGTTTGAAATGTATTGTAATTTTGCGTTTGGAGAAAATCCTCTTGAGTTTTTCTGTGATGCCGATGTTTTTGAGTTTAATCTTCTCACCGTTATGTTTTGCAGCATGTCTTTTGGATTTCCTTGATGATATGACAAACGCCCAGTTTGGGTATCCACAGGTTTGGAGAGCATGTTTGATGTTTTTCTGTTCTTTTTACTTGCCTTCTGTTTTTGTAGGGATTGTAAAAAGCTTCCTAGATGGGGAGTGAAACATCTTCCAACTTTTAAACAAAGTCCAGTTATTGTTTTATAACTTTTTTTGGAATAAAGAATGAATGTTTCCAACTCTAAAAACTTAAGTCTGGAAAGTTACACTTTGGTCAGTCCACAACATATTTTTCCTAAAACCTTCTCCAATTGGATTATGTTTTTGTTCCGCAAGTGTTTTGGTCTTTTTATTGTTGGATACTGAACACTAACCTCAACAAAAGGCTTCCAGATCTTTTCATGTTGCCAAACAGTTTTTGTTAACTCTTGCACAGTTTGTCCCTTTGCTCCTAAATTAATTTTCTAGTATCAACCACTACTCCTAAGCCTCTATTATACTCTTTTTTCTATATTTATAAACAACAGCTCTCAATGTGACAGTGGGACTTAGATGGATTCAATAAAAAGAGATTTGTAACCCTTTGATAGATGGAGCCTAGACTGAAGTTCAACTGAAGAAACTCATTGCCGTCTGCTCCTGTGCGCAGGCGGCGGATGCACTGTGACTTCATTCAGATGACACCGTTTCAACCCACCTCCAGCCCCTCCTCCACCATCGTAGCTAAAGCTTCATCAGTGTGTCATTCGTCCCGGACTGTTTCTGCGTTCCCTGTCTCTGCCAGAGGTCTCATCCTAACGGGGAGTTTTTCCTCTCCACTGTCACTTCATGCTTGCTCATCATGGACAGGTTCTCTCAACCTGTGTTATCCAACTGGACTTCCATCTTCCAGGTCCCTGAGTGAAGCTCAGTATCAGCTCACACAGTCCACTGGATCTCCCCATAAAGCTCAGCATACCGTCTCGCTAACCAGCAGTCTACAGACTGACCAACTTTGACTATCTCCATTCCACGACCAGTTTCAGGCCTGGGGGGGAACAGCCCTAGTCTTTGCTCCTTTTAATGCATATCTATCAAAATAAAGCTCTATGTTTCATGCCGAGGTCTGAGCGCCAAAGACAAAGTAATTGTATCAATAAATTTCTCCTAATTGTCTTTTCTCTTTGTGTGAGTTTTTCAGATTGAGATATTACACAAATCAGTTATACTGGTCTTTGAATTTGTTTAAATATGTGCATGAGTTTGGGTTTGGCCTACTTCCTTTTGTCAAACTCATTTTATTCACACTTTGTATTTGTTCTATGCATCAGGCAATAATCAGCCTTTGGTAAAATAAAATCCAGCTCTCCAAAACCTATAGTTAATCACAGTTAGATTATGAATTAACGAGTTTCTATTGCAACTATAATAGAAACCATTGTTAATTATTGTGTATGTGGATAGTTGTTTTTTATCTTAATAAGTGAATTTGTTCAAAGTTTATGTTTGAACATAGTGAGGTTATCTTTGTGTCATAATAAAGGAAGATGGATCATCTGAAACACTTAAGTAGGCTATGTCAAGTAAAAAGACAAAGTAACTCAGTAAGGGAGGATATGTAAGTGTGCCTTAATTGGACCAAATGGTTTGTAAAGGAATTAAATTGTCTTGTCATTTCTGCTTTTGCTGTTGATGAGCTCTGTACGCAATAAAAAAAGAGAGAGAAGAGTTAGGCGAAACCCAGAAGTTAACACTGCCGGTAGACTGAGAAAAAATAGCACGAGTTGTTGCTCTCTTTTCTCACGCCACCCTCTTTTTAACAGTGCAGATATGCTTTTCTTGCATTTGGTGGCATACCGTTAAGCGTCTAAAGGAAGCGGCAAAAAAAAAAATGTTTTCTTTCTGTTCTTTGTTCAGCTAACCCAACATTACATGCATAAAAAATAAGCAACATGTCTGTGATTCAGATTTTATTTCGTCACACTTTGTCAATTAGTGGGATTCAAAAGTATAACCGTGCCATCTTTTCCGACCCTGATATTCCAATTTCAACCAACGCATCATGTTTTTTATCATTAAAATGGAAAAAAGCAGGTTTTAACCTTCTAAGAGTTAATCTGCAAACACTGGCGTGTTAAACTAAAAATCCTGAATCACCAGCATTGCTTAATTTTGTCTGGCTTAATTAGAATTTAAAGAGTATTTAGGGATGAATGATGTTTTTGGCTTTTTTTTTTTTTTTTTTTACTTTGCAAGCACCATTTCTTCTTCCCAATCAAAGGATAAAGGGATAAAGCCAAAATAAACATAAATAAAGCCAAAAAGATTCTCTAACTCTGGTGTGACCAGATTATTTGTACATTTCAACTATGGACTTTATTAATGCTTTTACATACATTAACTATAGCTAAATTAAATGTAATCAAGGCATGTCCATGTGTTCAGTGCATCTTTTCTTCATTATCGCCATATTTAACTTTAAAAAAGGTTTCAAAGAGCAAAAAACGGAACTGTTACAGGCAGTCAAACCTCTATTCTCAGCAGTCTGACTTTAAAAAAGCGCAATCCTATGAGACATAGCTAATTTAGGGATTACTGTGCATAAAATAAACCGTTGCAAAGCTGTATCATGTCTGCTTTGTGGGTCTTTTTTAACTTTTTCATTTTTATTTTTCAGTTCTTATATTGAAACGTTCTGTTTGCAAGAGGGAGTTTTGTAGAAGTGTTTAGGTAACCAATAGCTCCAATTCACAAAATAAAAAAAATGGTAAGCCAAGTTTCATATCTGCATGGTTGGAGTTTGAAATGACATCATTTCTGTACTGAAGTTCATGAGAAATAAAAGTTTTCTAAAGTTCTGTATCACTTGAAAGCATTGTGCGTTTCTGATAAGGTAATCACAGAGACATTTTTTTAAGGCATTTCAAACAAACAATTAACTGAATTTCATTGCATTTTTTGAAAAAGGATTATTGTTTTCCAAAAACGGCTGAGCAAAACCTTGCTGCCGTAGAATACATTATTTTTTTGACGAATTATGCTCTCAGTATTTAAAGGTTTTTTGTACTTTTTTGCTATTTGTCCTATCATATATTTTCTCGTAAACGAGCACATGATAAAATTGGTTACACAAAGTTGAAATTAAACTGACTCAGAGATGAAGAACACCCGTTTGTGGTGAAGATTTCCTGTTTTTTTCAATTTGTCTATACAGTTTCCTTTCAGCCAAGAAACAGAAGTTAAACAAAAACGTAGGATTTGTCTCATTTAAAAAAAACAAAAAAAAAACTAATGACATTTTAGAATAAAACTAAGCATTGGTCACGTTAGAGTTTTATGTGTAACCTTCAGGTACATTTTACGCTTTCTGTACAGAATCATAATTGATCCAATAATTTCTACTTTTAGGTTATTGGTATCCTACCAAACAAGCAGAGATCTATAAATATATATTTTTCTTACCTGCCAACGCCACATATAGAGTAAGCAGATAGAAGTGTCGGTGTTCGTTCATCTTGACATGAAGTCAGACTCTGCAAACACTGTGTCTGTGTATGAGAGTGCAATCCGTTTCTATGTAATTTTTGAAAAAGGAGGGTGTTTCCTTAGCAGGTGGTTGTGTAACTTCCGCTATCACACAAGTGCTCCTTTTCAGATGCGTAGAAAGCTTCCTCTCCGCTCTCCTTTCCAAATAATCCACACAATATCTCAAGGTTTTTGTTTTTTCAGTTGATTTTCTAAAACTAAAACTGTCTGTCAGGTTCGTAATTTATTTTATGGGTTCTGCTGGATTGATGATTTTGTTTCAAATGATTTTGTATTAAATTTCACCTTTAGTGTATTTTTTGTAGCTGGTTGTTAATATGTGTTTTTTTTTTTTTTGTAGCTGGTTGTTAATATGTGTTTTTTTTTTTCTACTGCAATGGTACCATGGAGATCATCACCATTTATCTCTGTTAGCAAACTAAGAACTGCAATTATCGTGATCTAAAATCAAAAGTGGTGTTTCTTACAGTAATGCCATGACCTCATAATATTGCAATTTTAAATCTCCTCTTAAAATCCTTCTTTTCTCCCTTGCCTTTAACACCACTTGAGATGCTGACCTTTGAATTATTAGAATTTCCATCCATCCAACCATCCATCCATTATCTGACACGCTTGTCCCAATTGGGGTCGCGAGGGGTGCTGGTGCCCATCTCCAGCTGTCCCGCAGAAGCGGGGTACACCCTGGTCACCAGTCCATCGCAAGGTAATACAGAGACAAACAGGACATACAACCATTCACTCACACCTAAGGAGAATTTAGAGAAGCCAATTAATCTAACAGTCATGTTTTTAGACTGTGGGAGGAAGCCGGATTATCTGGAGAGAACCCACGCATACTCAGGGAGAACATGCAAAATCCATGCAGAAAGACCCCGAGCCGGGAATCGAAACCCAAAACCTTCTTGCTGCAAGGTAGCAGTGCTACCCACTGCGCCACTCTACATATTTGTTCTTTTCATTTGTTTAATCAAATCTATAATTATTCTTTGATTTGAGTAAAGGGTTGTTTTAATTATTCTAGGTTTTATTGATACTAGTATTGTTTTTTTTTTACTTTGTGTACCACTCTTTGGTCTTGAGTATGTTCAAAGCACTCTATAAATAAAGCTAGTATGTATGGTGTGGTATGGTTTTCCAGCTGCACTACAGTCCTGGCTAACTTACGGTCATTCCTTCCTGCAGGTGGTAAAAACTGAAAGATCACTGGGAAAACTCTTCATTCAGATTTTTTACACCACACATTTTCTAAAAGAAAACACAGATTAATTTGGCCAACAGCCTTCCCTCAGACTCCTTATCAGTTATCCCTAGATAGCTTTCCAATATTTTGTCCAAGCTAAATTTTGAAAATAAAATGCATCATTTTAGCTTATTATTCTGAGCTAATCAAAAACAAGACGTGACTTGCTGTACATAAATGCAGTTTTTAATGGGTCTGTGATGCACATGGGAAGTTAAGAGCCATCGTTCAGTTACAACCCTTCTTTCTTTAGAAAATGTCATTTTGCTTGGGCCAGTCTCGGTTAACTGCTTAAATTTAAACTTCTATACTTCCTCTTTTAGGGTGTACTCTGGTGTTTTGTTTTTAGCTGTTTTGCCAGCATTGAGTATAACCTACGCTGCCCAGTTTTTTTTTTACTTATTTCTGAAATTACAAACAGGATACAATAAAGCAGAAATTAACCTACAAAAGTATCTATGTCCTTTGAAACATTTAGCATCTAGTTTTCCAAAAAATTGCCTTCGGGGCTGAGTGGGGTAATGGTTTATTGAGGCAGTTCTATACCAGTTTACTTGTTGACCCTATTTGATGAGAATAAAGGCAATATAGATGCCTGCATTTGGTTGAAAATTTATATCTTTCTTTTTTTTTTGTACTGAAGCTATCATCTTCCTTCCACTTAACAAATACAGAGGTTGGTGACAAAGAATACGTTTTCAGATGTAACAAAAAAGGGAAACTCCAAGTTTTATGAATGTATATAACAAGTACATTCTTAACAAAGATCAGTCCAATTTAATCACCTGTTTGCACACATTGCTGTCCCCTGGCTTCTGCACCTTTAGAGAAAAATCTGCAACTGGGCATCCCTGAGTGATGCAACCCAGAGAAATAATGTCTACATGTGAGGAGAAGTACAAAGCTAAGTTTTCTTGAGTGACGCCTCCACTGGCTTCTATCTGAAGAGCTGGGAAATCCTTCTTTAGTTCTCGAGCTGCAACATGAACTTCCTACAAAGAAGAAGGGGGTGTTGGACAAGTTTTAGTTTCAGAAATAGTTTTATTTCCTGGCCTTTGGTGATTTGAAATGATCTACCTGTGGCTGAAAGTTGTCTAACATCACGATGTCTGCTCCGGCTTCCGCTGCCTCTCTGCCCTCTGTAATGGAGCCACACTCCACCTCAATCTTACTGCTGAACCCACAGACTGAGCGGGCCACTTTCACAGCCTGAGAGACAAAAACGGATTTTAGGTTTGTGTTTGCAGAAGTATCAAAAGGTCACCTCAACTCAGGGCATCTGTCAGTCAGCTGGTTGCTAGTATTTCCGCAGCTTTGCAATGTGCGGAAAGAGAACATCATGTGTTAGGGTGCATGACACAAACTACAGGCTCTTGCTGTATTGAAAAAGATATAAACAGATGTGAGAAGGAACATTACTTTTACCTAATTGTGACCAAAAGGTCTCAAAGCCTTTTTCAGTAGTAAAGAAACAAAGTATTGCTTTAAAAGGAGGCAAGACTGTGCTTGAAGACCAAGCATAGATTAAATCATCTTTACCTTCACAACAAATCAACTTTGGTCATGCATGGATGCCACTTGGAAATATTACAGGTGCCTGTTTAACAGCAGAATACAGTTACAAGTACATACTAAAAACATCAAATGACAAAAATAAAAAATAAAAATCCTTCTGTTTCAGTTATGGAAAATCTGTCAGAATAGATGAAGTATCAGGTCATGGCTCCAGAACCTGAACTTGTGGACCTTAGCAAGCCTTTCTAATTGAATGAAATGGGATAAGATTAGTTTAAGCGAAGTTCTCTATTTTTTTTAATTATTTTTTTATACATCTGCATCCATTTTCCAAAATGACATTCAACTTTATTTTGTTCTGCATTTTTATGAGTGGCTGACAACAATGTTGGTTACTGCTTTCTACATGTACAACATCAAAGAATGCTTTCTTAAGATAACAACATCTTTCTAACAAATTATAATTCTATAAATGTATTGCATAAATCTTACTGAATCGCATAGGTATTTATTTTCTAAGAATTCAGATTGTTTTTGCAGCTCTAAATAAATTATTTTGGCAAAATTAGGGCAGCGACTCTGAATTGTGAAAGATAGAGACCCATAGATTAGACGGTAAAGCTGTCAGAATCTGTCTAAAATTCTATGTTTTGCTTTTTTAAACTTATGTACGCTGTACTGAAGGCATAAATCAGAAATTACTGACACTAAAACCAGGGCTAAGAAAAAAATAATATAAAGATATTGCCTCTAAAAAATAATCAAGGTAAACCAACAATGAAATGCTTCCAAACCAATGCTAAAATCCAAAGTAGTGTACTTCCCAGCAAGTATAGATCCTACCTCTCACTGTTTATGCATTTCATAATCAACAGAGCTTTAAGTTATTTAGCAACCTTTACCTATGGTAACTGTTGATTTCAAGAGAAAAGACATACTTAATTTTGTTTATTCAAAATTACACTGAAAGATCAAAGTAAGAAGATGAAAATAAACATGCAATAAAACAAATAAATTGCCCAGACAATATATTCTATGAGCAAGTGAGGTTGAAATAAGTTATCTAATTACTTTTTTTTTATGTCTTTCAAAGACAAAATTAAATTCAGTATTCGGTAATATGGGGGAAAAAACTGCTTGTGAAAGCAAGGACAGTCACAGCTAAAACAATATCAGGCTGATTCTTTAAGGGGGGATTACAGAGTTATTTTCAAACAAACAATTCAAATTTAGTCATTCTACATTCATCCATTGCAAAAAGTGACATTTGAGTGACATTTGACAACAAATAAGGTGAGCAAGCCAATTCTGAATGACCTGAAAAAAAAAAAAAAAGAAAAAAAAAACACCTCTTCATTTAAAAGATTAAAACCACACAGCATCAACTACAATGTAATTTGGAGATATGAAACCAATGCACAATCTTAAACCAAGCATGGTCAAAGGGCAGACACCCTATACCACAGGTGTCAAAGTCGTTCCAGAAAGGGCCGTGTGGCTGCTGGTTTTCTTTCCACCCAAGCAGTAGCACACCAGACTCCATTCATCTCATCAAGGTGAGTCTAGTCTTAACCTGATGACTTGATGGGATGAATGGAGTCTGGTTTCTCGACTGCTTGGGTGGAAAGAAAACCAGCAGCCACACGGCCCTTTCTGGAACGACTTTGACACCCCTGCATACCAACTGTTAAGCATGGTGATAGAGGTGTGAAGATTTGGGCCTTTTTTTCTTCCAAAGGACACGGCCACATTCTACTCATCGTGTTTACGGTGAACATATCTAAAACTCTCTTATCTCATCAGCGTGTTCACCACAGCGGTTGTATATCTTTTGCTTTGTTGCCATAGAAGCAAATAAAAACATGCAGTTTGTGGTTTGTAGCTGACTAGAATCCAAGTTGTATATTTTCACCAGTTCTTGTCCTTGTTATTTCATTTAGAACAATTGCAGCTGACTATTTAGAGAAACTGCCCACCTCTGTGATGCTTCCTGATGCCCAGATGTGGTTATCCTTCAGCATCACCATGCCACTCAGGTCCTGTCTGTGCATGGATACACCACCCACCAGCATGGCATACTTCTCCACCAGCCTAAAGCCTGGCGTGGTCTTACGGGTGCCAGCCACCTCTCCATGCCAGCCTGCAGACTTTGCTGTCGACCTGAGCTGAGAGCAGCGGGTAGCAATCCCTGAAGCACGACTCAGGCAGTTGAGAGCAGGGCGCTCCCCAAGGAGCAGGCATCTAGCCGGGCCTCTCACAACAGCAGTGAGGGTGACAGCATCTGGGCCTGTAGATATTGCACAAAATCGAGAGATGGAGATGCTATATGTTTCATTATATTAACGCTATATCAATATGGAGCTAATTTATTCTATTTCTGCATCATGGCATATAAAGATACTGTTATTTTTTTTATAAAAATTCTTCTATTTGAGGGAGAAATGTTGTAATACTTGCATTAGTAATTTATAATAAGTGTTACCTGGACATCCTATATTAACTATTATAAAAAAAAAATATATATATATATATATATATATATATATATATATATA